TCTTAAGGATAGATTTTGGATCCAAATTTTCATAGGCTAATGATCTAGGCCATGGTAATCTTGCCAAAAAAAACAAAAAGCAAAATTTTTAACTTCAAATATTCTTTTTGTTTTTTTGTTTTTTTGTTTTTTTGTTTTTTTTTTTTGCACCGTTTATTTTGGATGTCCTTTTCTGAACGTCCATCTTAAAGATGGACATCGGATAGCCAAGGGACACATGCATCCCCTGACTCATAAATTTAGGAGCACATATGATTTTGGGAAGGCGCTATTAGGCAAAACAGCCTGTGTAACTCCATTCTGAGGGTCTTGACCACCGTGATGAGTCTAAAGAGGAATTTATATAACGTGAAGTCAAATTTTGAATTTGAAATTCCTAGTTCTAGAATTTTGAGTGCCTGGTTTAGAACATGTTTTATTTGGTCAATTTACCTAGAATTCTAGGGATTGTTGGTTTGAGTCGGAATTTTGTGATGTGGATATCTAAAATAGATAAATTTGAACCGCTCATTGAAATTTTTTTATTGATGAGAAGATCGTGTTTGCTATATGAAGATTTTGAAATCATAACTCATCCACGATGGGTCTAACAAAATAAATAGTCTAGATTACATTAACACAAAAAAAAACCCCCCTTAAAGAGAAGGTTAGTAAATCGTTTAGAACGGAAAGACCTATTAGATAATGAACTATTGGTGCTAACTACTAAGTCGATTATTGGAAATAGGACGTTTCTCTTGCTCCCCTTCTCTTGTTGAAAAGGCTCATTACCAAGTCCTTAAGAGGAAATAAGAAGTTGGCAATTGTTAGGACTTCCTTCCCTTTTCTTCTTCTTTTGTCCAACACTTTGTAGCTGGCTTAAATTTCAAACTACGAGTTCATGGTTTGAGCATTTTGGTAGAGTTTCAATATCCTAAATCCATGAATCAGCTTAACAGCGATCACGGACAAAAAGGGTTTGCCTGGGGATCTTTCATGAAGTTTAGGAGTTTTGTGTGCACAATGGCTTGACTGTAAATACACTCAGGATAAAAGATTGAAGAACATTATTTTTAACCCAAGTTCTTCACTGAAGGAAATATATACTGGAAATTATTCTTAGTATTGCAAGCAACAGGTCATTATAGCATAAAACTCATGCACCTTGCTGCTTTCCCTGCAATGTTACGAAAATCAGAACCAGTTGTGTTATGCCATATTCTTTTTTTACTGAGAATGTCTTAGAGTCTACACCACTTTCTCTCAATCACAGGTTGCAAGCACCTGGTCCACATGAAATACATGATGCTTAGTTTGCGTGTGTGTGTGTGCTCGTGCATGTGGTTCATAAAGTCCCTTGTTTTCCTGAAGGGGGCGCAATCTAGCCTAAACCAACTGGACCACCATCTCCATTGTATTATAATCACATTTATTGGAAGTATATAGCAGATTATAGAGATCAGAGAGTACAATGGGATTAAATTTCTGTAGAGAAGAAGTAATAGCGATGGAAGTTCATGTTTCTCATTGATGGATAAGACATCATTAGCTTGAAGTCACCAGCAGTCATCAGAGATACTCTATAGATGCAAATAGCTAAGATCTTTATATGCATTAGAAACAAGAATTGTAACGTAACCCTTGAAAATAAAACTTTCATCTTGGTGTGGCTCATCTAATTTATGCAAATGTTGGAGAAAGGGTTTAAGTTCTACCTATGCATACCACCTTAAAGGCAATGAAAAAGCAGCAAAGAATTTATCCAAATTTCTGATTATTCAAAATCTAGTTTTAACAAAACTGGATTATCTTTTAGGCACTGCTATCTTTTATAGTTGGAGATCCAAAAGCATCGGAGAAGAATAGTAACTTAGTTATTTAACATCAATACCTAGTAGCATCTTAGTTGAACCTCTCTCTCTCTAAAAAAGCCTCAAGAATTGGAGGAGGAACTTGTGGAGGTAAGACATTGGAGGAGACCAAACCATTAGTTAGTCATGAAGCCCATTCTACCAAGGGTTCGACCTCCTACAATTCTTACATACACACCCTCTCTTTCTCTCTCTAAAAAAGCTTGAACAGTTGGAGGAGGAACTTGTGGAAATAAGACATTGGAGGAGACCGAACCGTTGGGTAGTTATGGAGCCCACACTACAAAAGGGTTCGACCTCCTACAATTCTTACATACACACCCCCTCTCTCTTGAAATTCCACCTATACAACTCTCTCTCTTTTAAAAACCAAAATTGTGGTGTTAGAATCAGAGACAAAGGAGATGAACCCTGCCTGCTGGCTGGTCTCCCAATTTATAGCACTTGTAGGTCCCTGATATGGGCCAAATTCGGTCTTCTTTACCGGTAACCATCCCAATGTTGTGGGTTCCCTCAAGCATGTGAACTTGTTTTCTCTCTCTACTGCACAGGCCACTTTCTAACTTGGTTTTAAGTCTCTCTCTACTGCACAGCCCATTTTCAACGTAGGTCTCAAGTGCAGTGAGCATCTAAGCATGATAATGTCGTGACTTCCCTCGAGCATGTGAAGTTAGTTGCTTCAACTAGTCTCTCTCTTTCTCTCTCCTCCACGATATAGTATCGTGAGTATTAAGAAGAGGAAAGCTTTCTATGCTTCTCCTCCCCTTATCCAGCCCTCCATATTGAATGGAGGGCTAATATTGCTCCAATCACAATGTCACGTTTTTATATTATTTTATTTTTAATTTTTTCTGTAAATTATTTTGCCGCCAAATTTTAGACGTCCGTTCCTCTATTAAACTTGCATTAGTAAAAATATAACAATAATATTTTCAATAAAATAAAATAATCAAAATACCCCTGAAAGCTTATATTTTATAGGTGTGTCCTAATGAGAAGATGGCACATACCAAATTTCATATTCATACAATTTGTATAAAAAAAATTAAAAATAAAATACTTTGAGACGTCGAATCTAAGATCAAACGGTGAGTAGCTCTCTTGATCAAAATTGGATGTCTGGATGGTAAGAGAAGCATAGATGTAGGGGAAGTATAAAAACCTTTCACTAAAAAAGAATGGAACGATGGGGTTTTGTTTATACGTTCCCATAGCCAACCCATACTTAACATTGTTTATTTTTAAGTTTTTTCATGATGCCTATGCTTTATGCCAAATAAAGGCTCACCTCCAATCCTCATCTATAAAGCACTTTTGTCAAGAAAAATCTCCATAATGGCTCTAAAATCAAATAAAAATTTGAAACTAAAAAAATGTACGATCTTGTAGATCTTTGAGCACTAATTCTTAGGGCGAAATGGATGGTCTAGACAAATTGTTCAAATATACACTATTTTTAGAGTTTGAAATCCCTTTTTGTTTTTCACAACCAGAATCTTGAAGCCGTAATCTTGAAGCCGAGATGATCAATATAAAGGTTTTCCAATACCTGAATTCCAATGTAAAGGTTTTCCAATACTTGAATTCCAATATTTGATGAGTTATGAGGAGAGGCTTTACTTATTTTGATAGGGCCACAGCTCTATCAAACCATTTTCCTTAGTTGTTTAGTGGTACATTATGTGTGACTTCATTGATTACTCTAAAGTTATACATATTCAGGTATATTTTGGATGTATTTGTTATCGCTCCAACAAGATTAATTGTAAAAATAAATTAAACTAATTAAAAATTGTTCCCTTTTCTAAGAAATTAAAAAATATACAAAAAAAAAATTACATCCATACCCACCTTATTCATTGTTTTCATTTATTTATTTGTTTTTGGGCCTAAAATTCCCTTCACGGACCTAATATGATTCAAGGACCTCTCCCACGCTGATCTCTTTCCCACAATGCATTTGGAAGCATGACAGCTTCATTCGTGCCGTAATTGTGTTGGAAGCATCAAGGCTCCAACAACGAAGCATCACGGCTCCAACAACACTTGGAAGGCGCATTTGAAAGCATGACGGCTTCATTCGTACCGTAATTGTGTTTTGGAAGTATCAAGGCTTTGTTAGTGCCATGATGAAGCATCACGGCTCCAACGACACTCCTGCTTAAAGGCGCCCCCATAAGCACTTCCTAGAAATCCAGTTAGCACTTGAAGCATCCGTGATGCTTAAAGGCGCCCCATAAGCACTTCCTAGAAATCCAGGAAGCAAGAGGTTTACCGAACCTCTTGGAAGCGGTAGACTTTTTAGGGTTTGCCGAACCTTATAATGCTCATTGTTTAATGAATTTATTTGCCTTACTACCCATAAACATAGAACCACGTAAACCTTAATGTTTTGTGGCACTGCATTATTACGCTTTAGTTTTCATGCTCGTATGGTGATTTGTACTCTTTAACTGAATCTATTTCTAGCCAGATTAGTACACTACATTGGTGAGATCTGACATTGGAGGTTCCCAATTTTGCATTTAAAGGATTCTTAAATCCCAATAAACAGGAAAGCACCATTCCATGGTTTGGGGCCTCACGATGAGGCGTCTTTATTTATGCTCCATAGAACCTTTGATGGCGTCCTTTAATCTCTTGTAGAAGATGAATATTCTAGGCATAAAAAGCCTGTGTTTTCAGAAAAAAGCCCCATTGTATATTTCAATAGGTTGAACAGGATTTCTACTCGGTGATTGAAACTCATGATTATGAATCAATCACATTCATAAAAGTGAAGCATATACAAATTGAAATAAAAATATAAATATAATTAAATGGAATAACTAATAATATGACTTGCAAGCAAACGATAGATCTATTACTTTCCCAAAAAAATAAGATAAAACAAACCACCCATCAAATAACCAAATTAGGTTCGAGGGACCATCATATGGCATTGGCTTCAGGAGAACCGAGAGAGGTCCCATTTTATCTTCCTATCAAAGGATTACGACATAGGCATCGATCTCTTTTTCCGGTCTCTTTTTCGTGCTATTTTTGCAACACATCAATTTATATGCAAGGAATTGCAAAACATGTTCAGTCAAGTTTCCTCTTTACTTGCTCGAACCCACCCCCCAATTACTCAGGCACAACAAGAAATCAGGTTTCAAGGGACTCCTTTATTCTTGTCTATAGCGACTACAATTTAGAGGACCGGAACTTTTCATATGCAAATGCACACTGGCAAAACGTGCAAAACGTCTGTTCAAAAAAACTACTGAAACTTGCCAATGCAGCAATGTCATCAATCAAAACATTTGCCACTTCAAACCACGGGAAGTTACTAACAAATGAGGAGACCCTTCACGAGTTCCTTTATCATTCACCCCAATAGCGACATTTTTGTAAAGCATTTCTCCAGCAGGAAAAAACAGATCAACCTTTCCACCTCCGAAAAATCATAGTTTATGTCTCTCCAGCAGGAAAAAACAGATCAACTTTTCCACCTCCGAAAAATCATAGTTTATGTCAATTTTACAAGGCATCTTATGACCGCAATGACAACAAAGGCACAGTAGAACCAGATTAAACAGTCAAAATCCTCAGAATAACAAGCTGTTTATTACGCAGAACCTGACAAAAAGGGAAATCATAATTGAATTCAAAGACCAAAAATATTCAGAAAGGTAGGGAAACTATACATACCATATACTCCTAGCCTTATCATGAGCTCCTCCAAGACCTCGAGATTCCACTTGAGAATTGTGATGCCACTTGAGAATTGTGCAAATAGATGTGCATCAGTCGAAATTATCATCTCACCTGAGATGGAGAGCAGAGAAGGCCAGAGGCATCTGACCCAACCATCGCAAGGTCACAGATGGGGCAAAGCTGGCCTTCAAGGACAGGTACAAACCTAGCCATACAATAAGGGCAAGCAACATCCTTTTGCCCACGATATATAGGAACAAAAGTAGCCCCACAAACCACAAAAGGGTTCCTAAAGTCATAATTCAATTCATTAGCATCTTTCATGTTTCTCTCACAAGCCTGCAAAAGTTGGCGAGCCTTGGTCGCCTGATTGGCTGGTGGATCTGTTTCCAAAATCCGCCTAGCAAAATTTGCGGCTGTAATATAGTTCCCTCCCTTGAAGCAAGCACCCATGGCAGTCATAAGTGCAAGCCTGAGATGTATTCTTTGAAGATTGCAATGAGTAAAGTAAGCTGCCAACTCTTGCTGCTTTTTAAGATCATCCCTCACCTCACGTCTCCTCACCTCCATCCGAAGCCCCAAAACATACTCCTTTGCTATTACAATGAGCTCCTTGACTTCATCAGCATCCCTTCTAGAATCAACCACAACCACAGGGATAATGTGCAAAATATTGAGGAAGAGCCTCAAAGCCTCAGTGAACTTCCCTTCAGTGGTGGCCTTGTATGCACTCCTAAGCTTATCATCCAACATGGAGAACCGATAAACCAATTGGGGTGGGGCCCGCACATTGGGGCTAGCTGACTCGCTCCACCCTTTCTCAACAGCTATGGGCACCACAGGGGCAGAAGCAAACGCCCTGAGATATGAATGGCTTCCCATGTGCAAATCCAAGAAGAAAGGCTTAAGAGGAGCAAAGTTCTTTATACCCAATTGTCGGCTTAGCAATCGCATTGCAGTGTCAAAGTTCCCAGCTGCCGCATGCTCACCTGCAAGAGAAGATTTTTGGGTCCAGATTTGGCTAACAGGCATACCTGGTGTTGGGGCCACGAAAACAGTTGAGCGCACATTGGTTGAAGCATTTGCACTCTCGACTTCAGGAGGAAGCTCCAAGTCTTCGAGATCCCAACCTCCCTCCTCACTCTTTTCCTCTTGTTCTCCTCCTCCTTCAACCTCTGCGTCCACATGTCCATTTTGTCCACTTGATTCCACGATATCCAAATCTTCACCCCAATCAGCAACAGCAGCTTCTTCTTCCTCTTCATCCCCTCCTCTTCCTGTGTTATCCAACCCACCTTCGAAGATGCCCTTCATAACTCTTAACAAGGGCCAATCCCCACCACAAGAGATGGGTGGAGGTGGAATGAGTAAAGAAGCTTTCTTTCCTTCAGGAAGAGAGGGAACGTTGTCTCCCAACTCAACTGCAAGCCTCTCGGTAACTTCAGTTAGCCCATGAATGGCAGCTGTAACATAGGCAAGTGGGAGATGACCCGAGTTTTCCAAGATCTTGACTCGCTCATGAATGTCACCAAGATATAGGGCATTGTGGAACTGCCCCATAACATCATTCTTTATCTCCGCTATCCTCAACATCTTTGACAACTTATCCATGTTTCCAGTGATGAGATATAAGAAGGAGAGCCTCTCAAAGTTCTTTGTCCTTTGGTACGCGTATTCTACAATGCTAGCATTTCCTTGTCGGAGGGCCTCAACACCCAACCTATACCAATGGTCTTTCTCATCAATCTCCTTGGCTGACGCAACAGCAATCTGAATGTTTCCACTCTCTAAGGCTAAATTGAAGCGGGTTTTCTCATCCCTAACAAAATGGAGGGCAACTTCAGGGAAACCTTTCTGTTGCAGATATGCAATCACAGCCTGCCCACAGAGCTGCGAGTTCCTGATCATACTCATCACATGATCATATCTCTTCCTCAGCAAAGAGAGCTTGAAAACATACTCTGTTGCATCAATGGCTATCACCCGGTTCTTCCCGTCTCGATCCAAGCAATTGATGGTGTTCCCCGAAACCTTTGTGATGTATATGGGAACATCAAGGGTCCGGATTATACCACTGTCTCCATTGGGGAGGCAGTACTTGATATGATTCAGAGTTGTGTATATGAAAACACCATTGTCATCCCATGCACCACTCTTAACACGAATGGTCTCATGCAGTGTGCACCTGTGCAAGAGCTTTTTATTTGCTATAACAATTGCATGCTTACTGAGTAATGCAACACTCTCCATGTCATTTGACCAAACAACATACTTGATAAATGGAGTCTGGAGGTCTCCAATAATTGTCCGCTGCTGAAGATCAAAGATGACCACCCTATCCTCAGCACGACAAAGCAAATTACCAGTGCCAGCATAGTATATAGCATCGGCAGCAATGGGGAGAATGCTCTTTTTTACAACTTCATTTTTGAGGTTCTTAACCAACGCTTGATTGTTACTCTTGTCAAGCACAGCAAACCTGTTGCGAGCAACAAAGACAGCAGACCCCCCCACACCTCTTTTCGCTTCTTGGGAAGTGTCGCCCCTGCCCATGCTATCCTTGGGCACAATATAGAGTTCATAAGATCCACCCTCCACATCTGAGCAGACCAAGAGAGCATTTTCAGTCGGGCTATATGAAAGAGTTCGTGGACTTTGGTTCAGACTGGTGGAGCCAGGCCTTCTTATGGGTATCACCTGGTTGTCTTTTTGGGACGAGAACTCATAGCAGCGTAAGAAACGGTCTTTAATGTAATATAGAGAATCACCACTAACCGCAAAAGCTGGGCGTTCTCTCTCCAGCTTAAAGACTATCATGCCACTATCATGACCAGCTGCCAAGAGATTCATTTCGGGATGAGCAGCAAGAATCCAGAATCGATCATGTTCCCTCCGGAAAGTCTGTACCCCTGTGCGCTTTGTAACATCCCAGACACGTATGCTTTTGTCTTCAGAGTTGGACACTATGATGTCCTGTCGTGCATGGAACATCACACATGACACATTATTTGTGTGCCCTCTCAATGTGTCCACTTCCCAGGCCTTTGTATCTGAAAACAGCACAAAAGTTTTTTGTTGAAGTGGTTAACTGTTCTATTATACCATTTAAGATTAAAAAAAACACAAAAACATCACAAACGTAGGTAGCCATTTATGATACAATGGCCCGCTACAAAAAGGAAAAGACAATGTCATGAAATAATTAATTGGAAACTATATGATAGATTTAGAATGAATCCAACGGATTATGTGAACGCCAGATTCCATTGGATCACCAGTCCATTGTGTGGTGACAGCGAGGGGGAGTGGGGAGGAGGACAGTGGGTCTCACTCCCCATTGGAACTGGTCATAACCCCTAGTGCTGCTCACACTCGCCCACCATCCCCATCCAACATTCCAGTCGACTGGATGATCCAACAGCCCATGGTTGCTCCATCATCACTGAAGCATAATGTTATTTTTTCCATAGTTAGACCTAGGTTTTTAAGGGCTCAAAACGTTTTTTTTTCTTTCTTGAAATTTGTTCACAACATGAATCCAAAGTAATTTGAAAATCTTCAGATCAAAAAACTCCCTTCAATGACCAAAATATTCTGTTTGTTTTCTGTATTGTTCACAAGGTGAATCAAAGGTGATCTGAAACTTTTCTGTTCAAAAAGATTCCCTTAACCATTGTTTTAGGTGCGAGACTGTGCAATAGGGTAATCTCACAAACGATTGAATTATAATTCTACAAATGGGTTGGCATCAAGCAATACCATTCATTCGCCACAGTTTCACTTGTCGATCATCCGCTCCAGAAACAATAAGTGGCAGGCTGGGATGGAACGCAGCCCAGTTGACACCCCGGTCATGGCCTTCCAACACATATTTCACGACGGCATCCACTCCCCCAAATAACTCTGTGTTCATTTGAGTTAGCCTTAATATGTCATCTGCTGGAGAAACAGTTTTCTTCCTCAGGGCACCTATATCCCATACTCGAACTGTCTGATCCAGGGAAGCCGATACAACCAAATCCTCTTTAGGATGGAAAGAGGCGCACATAACATAGTGATTGTGACCAGTTAGCACAGAGATGCATGTGCGTGACTGCCAGTTCCATATTCTGATAGTTTGGTCATCACTTGCGCTCACAATCCAAGGGTACTCATTGTGAAATTGAACTGTTCGGATATAATCAAGGTGCCCAAGAAGAGTAAAGAGGCACCTGTGCATCTTATAGTTCCAAACTTTGATCTTGTAATCATCTCCTGCAATAGTAGATAAAAGGGTTAGATAAGCACCATGATCAAGGACCAACCGAATTACTTCTTACAGAGGACTCCTCGCATTTAATCCATGCCATTACCTATAATCATGTAAAGTGAAAAAAATTGTGCTAATTACAAGCTTAAGCAGTAATGAGTCCAATAATGCTGTGGCCACAGGGAAGGACATATAGGTGATTTTTAAACCATACATGTGCCTATTTCATGTTCCAACTTCCAAGTGCTATGCATGATAGCCCCCACCACACAAATACAAGCTTTTATCAAGGAAAGCCCCATGCATGTATCTTTCCCTGGTAACCTAGACCATATTTGCCAAAGTTGGTATGGGCACAGATAATTTTCTAAGTACGCTTCAACTGGTATCCTGGGATAGACAATAGTGCAATGTGGGTGCGACATTGAAATAGCTAGGTACTAAATAATTATGGATATGACATTGGTACCTCATAATTACATTTATTTTCATAATATGCCTAAACCTATATTTATTACAAAACCAGTGTTTTGAAATTTGCATTGGAGACTGCTTCAGTTTGGCAGGAGAAGAGAGTGCTTCAATGATTCGATCAATTTGGGGGAGGAGTTTAGATGTTTATTTAAAATAAAAAATAATATTTCAAAATTTAAAAGACTATATAAAATCATCATATAAACCTACACATTTAAAAAATTATACATAAATCTAGAAAATAGCACGCCAAGTCACACTCAAAATAGGGATTGTATACTATAAGACTATTTATTTCTGGTATAAGAAGGTCACAATCACTTCTAACCATCAGATGTGAAATCAGACGGCTATTGGTGTGTCACAAAGTTCGAGGATAACTTTTTTGGACTTTGGAAGGTGTCAGTAGCACACCTCTAACCACCTAATTGCATGTCTAAGAGTCAAAGGTGACCGTGAGTTCCTTGTACCGAAAGTAAATGCCCTTATTGTATAATTTCCTACAAACTAATATGTAAAAAGCAAGTAGAGCTCAAACAGAGAGCATATACTATGCTCCACGGGAGCATACTGTCCACCTACCTCCTCAAGTGAAAAAGCTATTTATGAGATATTTTGGAACTTAAATATTGGGATCCACTTAAGAATCACAAGATAATCAATTTTAAAAAAAATTGGATTTTGAGCTCTTTAACACTTAGAGTTGGCTGTCCAAAAATTAGACAGTTTATGCTCGATTTTAAGATTTTATTTTTTCAGGCTCACATGGCATGCTTTATTTTTCTCTAGTTTTTTCGAAGTTGGTCACTAGGTTGAAGACAAATCATCCCCAAAATCTGAGGTCCTAAAAATACTCCTGTAGTGAGATTTTTACCATAGGGAATAAAAAGACAGTATGCGCCTGCAGGAGTGTGAAAACATTTTGACACTCAAATATTGTGCAAGATGCATATTGAAAACAGTTTTCACGATCCGTAGGGACACCAAATAAACATGCCACCCTGCCTCATTCACCATGTTTTAAGGGGGTGAGGCTTCAAAAGAAACTCCACAGTCATTCTCCTTCCCTAAAAAGCAATATCCACCACGGAATTACGGCTCCAAAAAATGCACCTTCTCCACACATTTACAAAATAGTACCCAAATTTAGCAAACAACAAGTGAAGTCATACATATTACAAAATAAAATGTGAAAAGCAAGCAAAGCTGATATAATGCACAAAATCAAGTTGGAAACTGCTTTGGTGCCCCCGTAGCGTGCCAAACAACTCTGCTGCCTCAACTCATTCAAAATTTATGGTTCCACCATCATTCCAAAATCAGATCTGAACCATCAACCATCAATTGAAATGGAGACTAGATCTAGGGGATTTGGAGCAGCTTCGTTAATGCTGCTTCACCTCATTCACCATTTTTTGATGGGAGACTCCCAAATAAACCTCAACATTGTTCCCCTAACCTCCAAAAGCAATATCCCACAAATGAAACAAGGATTTAGAGCCATCATCCCAAAATCAGATCTGAACCATCAATCGAAATGGACACTAGATCTAGGGGATTTGGAGCAACATAGGAGCTCAAACTCAATTTTTTGTGATGGCGTATAACTAAAAGGCATTGCATAGTTCTGAGGGTCCCCATCCTATCAAAAGAAGGTGACGGGTTGAGACAGTATGGTTGTTTGGAGCCCACAGGGGGCACACCATTAACACACATATACATATTACATAATATATATTATGTCTTAAAGAAAGAAGGTATCTACCATATGTAATATGGGGAGAATAATAGTAGAAAAAATAGTATGGAAAACTTTAAGTAATAAGATCACATTTTTTTTAACATATTTCCAAAGGAAGAAAGTAAAGGGAGAGAATATGTGCTAACATGAGACAGTAAGATGTACTACCTACTGTAGAGAGAGAAAAGAGGAACAGGAATGTCGCTAAATGTTTTTTACAAGGGATCTTAAAAGCAGGACCCTTTGTTATTTTCTTTTCTTTTTTGTTAAGCTTGGATGCAAGAAAAGTTGGGTAAAGGAACCAGAAACATATTTCTATTACTAGATTTCTAGTGCCATGTGGAATGGTTTCTACCAAAATTCCAAATGTGTTACCAGTGTCCTAGAAACACATTTCTGTAACATCTCTCTCCATTCCCACAGGGTGGTACTTGAAAGGTAGTAAATGGCATGATTTTTTTCTTTTTTTCTCCTTTTTTTTTTTTTTTTTTTTGTTGTGTGTGGGTGCAGGTTTTTGGGTTGTTTTTTGGTGTGTGTGTGTTGGGGGGGGGGGGTGGGAATGGTTGAGGAATTGGCTTCTAGGGATCTAGAGGGTAGCCATTAAGAATTAATAATAGGTAGTATCTTGCAATCATCACATCAAGAACCACACAGCTCCTACAATTTCTATGGGAAAAGTTTCTAAGAAATGGAAAGTGGATACATAGAGCTCGAATTTAAGGCTTGCTATGAGGCATCAAGCTCCTTAATCAAGATTTTATACACCCCCAAACCTCTGGATAATCTCCTTGCAACAAGCGTTGTTTTTTCTTTCGACCTTGAGGATTTTCCAGTAGAAAGTAATATGGGAAGAATTCAGTTTCATAGAGCTAATTAGGCAGTTGGAAATCAACAACAACAAACATATGTTTTTTGCGTCCGCGGTTGAATCTGCAATCTTGATGCAAATAAAAATTGGGGTTATCAAAATTTAAATTTATTTTTTTAATTTGATTTTTCTTAGGAATAGGAAGAGCGCTATGATAAGTTAAGTAGTAGAAGGGAGGATTTTGGGGCGTGAGTTGTTAAGTGAGAGGATTTTGGTGCATGATTGTTAAGTGGGAGGATTTTAGTGTGTGATTGTTAAGTGGGAGGATTTTGGGGAATAGATTAAGAACTGATCTTTAGGGAAGGATTTGGGAGGAGATAGAGATTCATGTGAGAGGAAATAGGGAGATAGACGTGAGAGAGGAAATAGGGAGATAGGCATGAGAGAGAGATAAGGGAAAGATGTGACTTTTTAGAGAGAGTTTATTTTTTATGGGTTCTTTTATATTTATTTATTTATTTTCTTCTAAGTATATTTAACGGGAAGAGATCCCTCATTGTAAAAAGAATTTAAATTTAAGTAAAGAATTTGGATCTTTTGGGGTGGACTCCATTGTAGACCTAGAGAAAGGGTATATTCTCTCACCCTTTATTATAATTTTTTTTTAAAATATTTCTCCTGACATCAGTTGGAATTAGAGCCAGTAAGATCCAGTATCAGAGCAAGTAAGATCCAGAACCGAAAGCTAATCATGCTATGGATAATCAGTTGGGACAAGTTTTAGAAAATTCGACCAAAGTCATGGAGGATGTTCAAACCAAATTTCATCGTGAAGAATGTGCTTGCAACCATGAAGATTCGACTCCAGATTTTGTTGTAGAGATGAATCGAGTCCCACGACCGACTCAACATGCCGATTCAGAATGCAATGGTCAAATTGTGATACAAGAAACGCGATCTGAGTAAGCATCTAGATGATTTTGGTATTCAGTTCGATCTTCTCAAGTCTTATAAAGAACTTGAAAAATAAATCACAATTGAGCTCGAGATCCCAATGTTCTACTTAAAGATGAGCAAAAAGTATTTTATGAATCGGTTTATTGAAGAAAAAGTATCGAGGCGCACGGTGGGATTGCATCACCAACTCGTCAATTGGCTTCAAGCTCGAGGTTGAGCGTCTCCCAACCCTGGTAGAATGATGCAAATAATTGGGGTTATCGACAAAAAAAATTCCTTCTCAAGAAAAAGTTTATTTTATTTTTAAAATTTTTATCTTATGAATAGGAAGGGCGCTAGGAAAAGTTAAGTGGAAGGAGGGTGGATTTTGGTGCGTGAGTTGTTCAGTGGGAGGATTTTGGTGTGTGATTGCTAAGTGGGAGGATTTTGGGGAATAGATTAGGAACTAATCTTTAGGGAAAGATTTGGGAGGGGATAGAGATTCCTGTGAGAGGAAATAGGGAGATAGACGTGAAAGAGGAATAAGGAGATAGGTGAGAGAGAGAAATAAGGGAAAGATGTACGTGACCTTTTAGAGAGAGTTTTTTTAATAGGTTCTATTCTATTTATTTATTTATTTATTTATTTATTTAATTTCTTCTAAGTGTATTTAAAGGGAAGAGGTCCCTCATTGTAAAAAGAAGAGAAATTGGATTTGAGTAAAGAATTTGGATCTTGTGAAAAGATCTTTTGGGATGGACTCCCTTGTAGACCTAGACAGTATATTCTCTCATCCTTTATTATTATTTTTGTTTTACTTGTTTCTCCCTGCATCAAATCTTCAGCTATTTTTCCCTTCCATCCATGTGCTTCCATCTTAAGAACTACTTTAGTACCGTATAGAGTTTTGTCACGGCAGTGATGAACGAATTGAATGTAAGCTTACTTTTTATCCTACAATATATTAATGATTTGGGAAGTAGGTATGGGGGGTAACACACAGAGTTGCAGACAGATTTCTATTGAAAATGTAATAGCCAAATTCTCTATCTTTCATACCTTATCATCCTGCAAGATGGATTCACCTAGTTACTCATCAGAGGCAACAGATTAGACATTAAAATCATATAGCTCATATGTCTCTCAGTTTAATGCAGTAGGTTATTTAACAGAACAGCATCCTCATTACTTCACTTGGTTATTTATATCTATTCATTGTAGCAGAAGCCAGTAAAATCAACCCATCTTAAGTTTCATGTTTAGTCATGTGTATATAACAAAAGACACACATAATAACAATCATAGAGAGGTTTTTCGTTTGCTTTTTGTTTTTGTTTTTTTTTTTGGTGGTTTATATAACAAAAAAAGACTTGTGGGATATGTGACCTTTGCATAGGTTCAGTCCTATGGATTTCAGGTAATTCTATGGAATTTTTTTCTTTATGGCATCAGAGCCATAGGTTCAATCCTTTGGCTCCCTGTTTCTCTCTACCCTCTTTAGGCAGCAAAGCTTGGTGGTTCATGATCTTCCTATTTTTCATCCAAAGAAAGAGACAGATAGAAAAGAATGGGTTTGTACAGAAGCCTATCCCAAACCAAAGATAGAATCATGGGGATGTGAGTATTACAGTGAGTTTGGAGGAAAATTGTATGCCTTATCAGAATTATACTAAGCCCCCAAACAAATTTTGCTTGCCCAGTCTTTGTTGAAATATCAGAAAGGAATTTTTAGGGGTTGATTATAAAGTCATAAAAAATAAATTTGCAGTACAATAGAAACCCCGAAGGATTGAAGATTCTACTCCTATTGCTAGTTCTACTACTCCTACTTTGCTTTCTGAGAAAAATACAGCCGAAGAAGAAGAAATAGCAGGATAAAGCAAGATGATCACTTGGAAAGAAGTGTTATTGGGAGAAAACAGCAAGCAGGAAGACAGGTGTGCAACCTCTGGTTCTTATCGGATTATTGAAGAAGATTCAATAAGCTGCATATCCAGTGATGAAGAGTCCAATGAGACACTTGGTTTTTCTGAAGAAGAAACACAAATTAACAAAATCAAATAAATTTTTACAAGTGACTATAAAGGAGATTTTCAAAATCTATTTGAAAAACAATCCAAAGAAGAAGAAATTTCGAAAGAAAATATGTATAAGATAAGAAAAATGGCACATTCCAAATATCTTTCGTTAGTACTGGCAAAAATTGCCATAGATGGAGGAGAAACCTGGAAAACAATAGAATTGTTTTTGGATACAAGTGCTAACATAAATTTTTGCACTAAAGAATTATAGAAAAATTGGGTGAAATATTCACAAGGGCAAGAAGTCGACACAATTAATGGAAGAAGAAAATTAACAGAACTTGCCATAAATGTCCCAGTGAAAAGAGAAAAAATAATTCTAGGGAATTTTGTTAATATTGAAGATGGAAGATATCAAGCCGAAATCGGTTTTGTAATCCTAGATGAAATCAACCCTTATATACTATCTAGAGAATTATCATTACTATAGAAGGAGAAAAGGAAATTGTGCCTCGAATTCCCCCCACTTTCAAAATGAGGACTAATAAGATTCAAGGAAATCTTTATATAATAAAAATTACGAAGGATGTTCAAAAACTAGAAGAATAACATGAAAAATATGAGATAATCAGACAGATAAATGGCATGAGTCTAGAAGCCAGTTCAAAATTACTGGATATAGAAAGAGGTTACAGAAATTCTCAAAAAAATGTTGTATTCAGCATCCCTCACAAAATTGGGATAAAGATACAAAAAATCCTTTTGGAATTTGATTTTTTTTTTGGATGGGAGGGGGCTTTTAAATTTAAGGATGCGGGAAAGCCCAAGGACTCCACTTGGCATGGGGAGTAAAGAGCCAGAAAGTAAGGAACCTACTACAATGTTAACAAAGGAGTGGGTGCTTCATGCATTGGAAAGAGGAAAAAGTGGCTTTGAGCAGCTATCACCCACGGACAGATTAACATTTAATAACAACTTGCCAAATAAGACAGCATAGGAAAGTCCAATGCCCATTAAGTATAATAGGACAATTAAATTCCCCTTGAGAAGAAAAAAGCCTTCAACCTCCCCCTCAAGGGGTTAACATCCAACTCACTTTCAATTCCTAGCCAGAGGGAAGCCAATAAGAAAAGAGAGATGAAAGATGGATGTCAAAGACTTTACCCAGGCTCTTATTTAGCCCCGTTGCATGGCATTCAGCCCATGCATGACAAGCGTCTTCCTCCCAACAGAGTATTAAACCAGATTACCAGAAGTGGAGCCTTCTGAAGGAATGCAATTCGGAGAATCAGTTCAATCTAGGTAAATTTAAGAGACCTTGGTGCAGTCAACAGAGCTTGGCTCCATCAATGGTTAATAAATAACAATCACATGATCTTCTGTCTCTCAATTATGAAAACAACTGGGGGAACTTGTGAAATGAAATAGGAATAAGAGGATCTCAAAAGAGAAAACATGAATAGAATGAGCACTTCAAAGGGAGAATCAAGCAATATTAGTAATCATGGGAAGCATAAAACTCAAATAGAATGTGTAAGGAAGGTAGACAGGTAGTGGCATAGTGATACTCCAGTTAAAGAGCATATGTGAGGAGCTGAACGCCAAAGCTTATTAGTAATTTGGCTTTTCTTTAATTGTGCAATCAGAGCATATATTTGCGCCTTTGTATTCTTCGAACAAATATTGGTTGTAGATCACAATAAAGTATTTATTAATCCAATTCACAATGTCATCGATAGTCTATAATCATGTCAGATCAATGCACTCTCAGATGGAAAGTAACAAACAGTGGCATTAAAGAACATTTCTTTTAGAGAGAAGATGTGAAAGAACATTATGAGGAAGACAATTTTTTCTCCTTCATCATAGGTTGCACAGGGACCTCAACTCTTAAATCTCGACAAATCTAAATTCTATTATACCAACTCACTTGAATTCCATCATGCAACAAGCATTTCAAAAAATAACCATAATAAAATTAGTGATTCAATCCCCTGCGATTACATCAATACTCTTAATTGATGGTTGATTCTAAGGACCCACAGTGACCCTTGTCATGTGAAACATGAAACCCATTTAGCAGTCGAGGGCTCGAGGTCAACAGTAGAAAGTTTAGAGAAAAGAAGAGCAAGGCATCAGCATTAGCAAAAAGAATGGAACAACCTCTTGTTATGAACAAGAGGAACCATTTATTTTAAGTAAAAGTAAAACCATAAAGTAAACATAGGGTAATATGAGCATTTTTCCACAGTACAAAACACCATTGGAATAGAACTAAAACCATTTTCAGAATATTAGAGAATAAAGTACACTTTCAGAATGAATACAAATGGAGAAATGCAATTCAAAAATTGTTGCCAACAAAATCACTTTCACACTGTAAATCCGTTGATCTGAACAAATGTCTGTGAAAAATACATTGAAAAAAATAATCAAAAGCAAAGATAGAAGGAATGATTCCATGACAAGAATGAGAATCTATTTACACATGCATTCCTATTTGCATGCATTATACTTTCTAATAAGCTGCTCACCACCTATCATCGGTGAATTGATCGTAATGCCAGAAATATCACCATATCACTCATTTCATAGATTAATTCCTCACAATGAAAACACTTAGAACTATAAAATAACTTCTATATAGGAAAATACTGAAACTTGCAATACAGTTCTTCAGAAGCATGGCATGAGTATAGAGAGAGATCGAGGGAGAGAGAGCGAGAATGTTGAGTGCGTACCTCCTGAGACAAACAAAGGCTGAGTCTTGTGGAAATGCACACCACGAACAGGCCCATCGTGCTCATCAAACCTATCAATGAGGGTACCCATGCGATAATCCCATAGCTGAATCACGCCACTGTGAAGACTAGCCAGAATCCATGGCCGCTTACTGTGAAAGCTCAGACCCTTAACCCTATTACTCTTTGTTTCGAATTTCGTCAGCATGATTCAAAATTCTGTGCAACTGAAACAAAGAAAACATTTTCTCCATGAATACTCAAACCGATAGAAACTGACCATAAACACTCATATACAATCATGGAAGATACACAAATACCACAATCACATCATTCCTTGGGAAGATTTCAAAGGAATCGCCTGGATCTTGAATTGATTAGAAAGTGAACAAAAGCTTCAAATTTTTCTGGATCTAGAGAGCCAGATCTGTTACATTACAAGGGGAAATAAAACGCATAGATCTAGAGAGAGAAAGCGAGAGAATTGAGTGAGAAAATTGGGAAACAAACCTCAGATCTGATAAGAAGAAAGCGGAATCGAGAAGATGAATGAATCAATCGTTCCTCTTCTTCAACATCAGATATGATCCAGGAGTTGCAGATCCTTTTAGGGGGAGAAAGCAAAAGGTAAACCCTAATAATATTTGTTCCGTGCTCTGCCCCGTCTCTCTCACAAGAGCCCCACCCTCTAACACAGAAGCAGAAGCAGAAGCAGAAGCAGTAGCAGGAGGAGAAATGCTATAGAAAAAGGGCAACAGGACTGACGCGACCTATTTTCGGTTTGCACTTTGCACCAAATAAGAGATAAAAGAGTGAGAGAGAGAGAAAGGAGGCCGGGGCCGGGGCCGGGGCCGGGGCCGGGGCCGGGGGCGTCCAAATTTTTAACCACGGTCTTTCTTACAAAACCTCATTAATTGTCGTGAGTTGTGACTCACGCATATATTTTTTTAGATATTTGTGTGAAAATCTTATTCTATTATTAAAATCAAATGTAAAATATATATTTTACACTCAAATCTATTTTTGAAGTATATATTGTATTTTAATCTTATTTTCTTTTCTATATATCTAATTTGTGAGTTACACTTTTCAACATCTCATATCTGTTAAAGGGGTGCAGTTTGGATACGGATGCATCCGTTGCTGTAGAGGTATGCGCCTTCAAATTGTATCGTAGTATATAATTTTGATTTAAATTATTTTTAGCATTATCTCAAAATCTATTTTTTTATCTAATTCTAAAATTTAAAATTTTAAAAATGATTAAAATCAAATAGATCTATAAATATATGAAAATCTTGAAAATAGACGGTGCAGATAATATGTTGTAAAATGCACTATTTTTTGAGATTTAAAATCTTTTTATTTTTCATGGTCATACATCTCGATGTCGAGATGTTCAATCAAAGGGTTTTTCAACATTAAAACTACCTTTTTTGATGGATTTTTGAGCTGCGTCCGTAGCTCTACATTATAAGGTTGCAACCTTATATAAACATTTTCCTTGTTAAAGAATGCCCCAAAAAATTTATGCAGAAAATAAAAAACTAAAATATCCCTAATTTTTTAAAATGTGTAGGGCGAATTTTGGTTTTTCTTTTACTTTATTGTATTTTTAATATTGTTTACATATGGTGAGAAATATGGATGTATAAAATTGGAGCTTAATATTATATATAAAAAATAAAAATAAAATTAAAATGCAACATTCAAAATGAAAAGTGAGATCTAAATATAAAATATAAAGTGGGAAATTGTATACAATGAGATCATTTACCTTTAGTATAGGGATATCGCAGTTATTTAGATCCATCTTGTGTGAAATCCGATAACTTGAGTGTCACAAAGTATGAGAAAAATTATTTTGATCTTTGAGCGTGATCAATGAAATAAATGCAACTACCTAATTTCACATCCAATGATCAAGATTAATTGTGACCACTTTGTACCAAAGGCAAACAATCTATTTATATACTTTCTCATATAAAATATAGGGAAAAGTTTATATAGAGCCGACGCTCTAAACAATCAAATTAGAGCTTACCTCAAAATTTTCACTTGACCAGGTTGTTTTGATTCCCAAATATCCTCATTGATCATCTCAACATCAAGATGCATGAAGATGAGAAAAAAAAATGGATTTCAAGTTTTGAAAATAGTGTATTTTGTAACGCATTTTTTTATCGTTACTTTTTTTTTAGAACGGGGTAGGGGTTGTGCTAGTAGCACCACTTGTACCACAGCTAAAGTCCAGGCTTCCATTCTCATCTAACGCATTAAAAAAACCACTAAAGATTTCAAAAAACGGATAGGGGATCTTCATCCCCCACTTAATTACCCAAAACAAATTTCAAATTTTAAAGTTTTGATAGATCTGTCGATCTACACTATTTTTTAAGCTTTAAACTTTATAAATAAAAATAAAAATATATTTTAAGGCCATCACAAAGATTTGCAGTATCAAAAATACATTTCTCAAAACTATTTGAAGTTAGGCTCCAATTTTATTGTTTAGAGCCTAGGGTTCTATTCAAACAGCACACTAAAAAATATGAAACTACTTTTAAAATTCTTAAACTAAACAGATTTTTATATCAACATTTATTTTTTATTTTTCTTATAAGATAGAAAGAAGTTGGATTCCACACCAATTACCTTTAAAAGAGGTTCCAAGCCATGAAAAACTAAATCGTTTGGTAGTTATTTGCCAAAAAATTAATCTGCTTTCTTGTGAAAATACAAGTGGAAAATAAAAAATATATAAATTGGAACCCCAAATATAAAGAAAAGTGAAAATATTGATTCCTTTTTTTTAGGAGCACATTGTCCATTTGCTTCCCCGGGAAAACTCAAGCCAATAGTATTATTTAGGTCCCCAAATTTTAGGGTTGCACCTTCTTGAACCTAGTAAGCCACCTAAAAAATGGAAAGTTTCAATAGCCTCCATGAGTGCTTGAAATTTAACATAAAAAAATTATATACGGATTATCAAAGTTTTTGATGGCTAGATCTACGTATTTAAATACTCAAAATCCTTTTATGAAACATAATCATCTAATGATTCTTAAGTGGATCCCTACGTTCTACTTTAAAAAATCCTCCTCGTACTTTTGTGGCTTGAGGGAGTAAGTAAACAACATGCTCCTAGGAGAACATAGAAAGACACTCAAATATTCAATAAGACCGTAGACGTTTTTCGTTAATTAAACTCAAATTAGTTCCCAAACCTCACGGGCAAAATTTAAATAGGGATTGGATACCATGAAACCATTTATTTTATTACAAGGAAGTCACAAATTGCTACTAGTCATTAAAATTGAATGGTTTGGAGGGTCACAAAGTTTGAAAATGATTTTTTAATAATTTTTTTTGGTAATTCATTAGCCCCTACCTATTTTTTCAAATAAATTAGGAGTTAGCTTTTTGAAGGCGTGCGTGGGTTGGTGTTAATGATGAGAATGAAAACTAGAACGTAGCGACTAGGGTGTGGGTGCTACCACCACACCTTAGCCCCTTCTCGTAATTTTTTAACTTTGAGTCTAGCTAATAACACACTCACAACTATCTGATTTGAAATATGATAGACAATAGTGATTATGACTTGTTTATATGAAAACTAAATAGTATCTTTATATACATTTTTTTCTTTTAAATACTAAAAATCCTCCAAAATTTAGAGGCAAAATAATAGGTGCTTATTTCAATGCTACACGGAGAGCAAACCATCCATTTGCTTCCTGGGGCAAAAGTCGACCTAGAGGTATTTCAAACACATTTTCTATAAACCTAAAAAACAATAACTTCTTGAAACTAAACATAGACCATTCAAATTTTTGATAGCCAAATTTAAATGTTAAAAAGCCTTTTTTTTTTTTTTTTTTTTCAGAATTACTCATTAGGTGATTCTTAAGTGGATCTTAAAATATAAGATCCAGAAAATACTAGTAAGTAACTCATTTCACGTGAGAGAACAATTGTGGATAACATGCTTCTCGTATTAGGCTATTTAATAGGAGAAATTGGGCTCTCCACGACGCACACCGCAGCATGCATCTACTAGTGACTAGTATATTGGAAGGTGGAGATTAGAAAAGACAACCCCTAAATATTACAATCTAATAACTTTGAGATGACCCTTGACATCCAATGTCATCATCATAATCAAAACCTTTTTTTCAACTAATTGGAGATGTATGCTCCCTGATGAGCATAGGAAACTCCATTCTTCTAAACAATAAACTTATTTATGCTAGCTTACATTATGTTATGGTTGGCTAAGACAAGTATTAGAAGCTAAAATTTAATTCCAAATTTCAGCCTATAAATTATCATATACTATGTCTTTCGATAATTGGCATCATGTTAATAAGATCTACACCATCAATTCAACCATCACTAAATTTATACGTTTGTCACGACATCAGGCCGGGCCACGGCTTGCGATGCCCATTGTGAGTTACATTTGTTTGTAGAAAAATTTAAAAAAAAAAAAATACATTTAAAAAATAACCACTTCATTTCAGCAGTTGGAGCATTTGGTTTGGTGGTTAAGAGCATACAACATTCAAGGTTCCATATAAAGATAAAGATAAATATGAGAATAATAATAACAATAATAATAATATTATGTTGCATAGCTCTTTTTTTCTATAAATAATAATAATAATAATAATAAGAATATAGGAAAGAGCACAGATACTTTATGTGTAAGCAAAGTACCGAGTCCATAAACATTACAAGGTGACTTATCTTACTTCGTTGAAGAGGTGGACGCGCAAATGGTGTTCTATTGTCACGCTCACGTTTTAGGAGTTGGAAAATTCCCTTCATCGTTATTATCTCTCTACAAATTTTAATGGAATTTGAGTCTCTGTATGGTCAACAGGGAAATATTCTTGCGTGATTTTAATGTTAAAAGACTTAAAATGCAAGCGGAAACTGGCCGTACGATTATTATTGGCGCTTGATGTCTTTCAAGCGGTATTTCAAAAGCCGCATCGATGGAGCGATCGTCCACCCTATAGACTTCGTCGGATTGTTGTACTAGGTGCTTTGCATAGGTTAGGCCGTCCCATCAAAATGGATAAACTGACGTGGCCCCAATTGTAATGTCATATCTAAATTTTATTATTTTTTATTTATTTATTATAAAATCATATTGATACTTAATTTGGGGCATCCACAAATTTCATAAGCTCACACTTATGAAAGATATTAAACAAATATTTTTTAAAAATAAAATGATCAAAATACCTAAATTTTTTTTTTGAAGCCTTTGGTTATTTTATTTTCATTAAATCTTTTTCAATATTTTGAAGGTGCGGCATATTGAGATGATTACACACACCAAATTTCATGTTCATATAAATTGTATAAATAAAAATAAATTGCCTTGAGTCGTTAGTTCTATGACCAAACAATCAATACTCACTTATGACATTATTGATGAACTGATGTTCGTATCCCAACCGAGTGGCATATATAAATTCCCTATGCCTAGCCATATATATAAATTCTCATGCCTAGTAGCATATGTAAAGCTTTCTCTTAGTAACCAAAACAGCACAAATTGGTTTTGCTTTTAATTATATGATGAACATGAGGACCCATGCAGTATAGGTAATTACAATGGAACCGGCGCGTTTGGCTCTTTGGAACTCGATTTGATTCGAATTTTAGATATAGTTTTTTTGGGAAATACAAATCTTAGGTACAAAATAAATGTTGTTATTAAGAACATACCAATATAAGGCGTCCGGTTTTGTCAAATCTGGTCCTACCGATGGTTTAACTGGTTGGACTAAATCTTAAAAACGTTTGTACAATTTGTAAAACTAATCAAACTAATTTGGAGGCCAAAACATTGATTTTGTTTAGTTCTTTATTAAATATAGCTTTTGCTTCAGATTAGGCTAGCTAATAGGCGTATCAATCCAACTTGTTGGACCTGCCATTTTGGTCCAATCTTCATAACTTGAGATATTAGATGGAGTCCATGTTTTGCATATCCACAAATTGGTTTACCTCTCTATTTACATGCATATTTGAAAGGATCTATGATGAGGCCCCCTTAAATTTATGTACAAAATGGTTAAAAATTTGTGAATGAATAAAGAGAAGGGGCCAGGAATTACAAGTTCAAAATTGATAGAGATCTGGGCAGATCAGACCCCTTTTGAATGTGTCAAGAGCGCCAACTGAAATCTTAGACCAATTAAATCTTTAAAAGATAAAAATATAAACTAAATTAAGTATAAAATAATTAGAAAATAAATGAACTAAATAAAGAATAAGAGATATCACTTACCTAAAGAACCTATAGTTGAAGGCCGTATCAAGAGCGTGAGTTGATTTACACCATTTGTAGTCTTCTCTTAAATTCATGAAGAGTTGACTCTAAAGGTTTTCACGTCCAAAAGATATTTTTTATGGGATTTTGACTTTTTAAAGATTTCTACTTAATTCGGAGTTTTGCTAAGGGTTTCCAGCCTATCTAGAAAATTCTATGAAAGGAGTTTTGCTAAGGGTTTCCAGCCTATATAGATAATTCTATGAAAGGAGTTTTGCTAAGGGTTTCCAGCCTAGGTTTTCCCTAGATATAGGGGTTTATAGAGCCTAAGGGAATTTTATGTGGATATTTTTTTAATATTTACTAGGGATTTTGGGATTTTTGAGAATTTTTTAGTAATTTTATATGGAATTAGGATTTTCTAGAAATTTATAGGGATTTTTTGATGATTGTTTTATGGGGAAATAGAGGGTAGTCTTCCGTTCTAAAAAACTCACAAGGAATACTTCCTTAATTTCTGAGGGTTATAGGTCTCAGGGACTCATTGCCCAACATAGACTATGTTGGGTAACGATCAAAATATAATTTTTGGCAACAAATTTGTTCTAGCGATAACTTTTAAACCGTAAGTTGTTTTGAGCAATTCTTGAACTATTGAAAAACTTGTGATGTCCTCTACAAATTGGAATAAAGTTTGAACTATTTTGAGTGAGGGTATCAAGTTTAAACTATTTTGACTGAGTTTTAAGTGGTCCATAAGGCTAAGACTTCAAACTGTTGCATACGTGTTCATGTTATTTTGGGGTGTTTGGGGTGACTAGGGTATTAGGTAGGTTTTAAATATTGGGTTTTGAGATTGAGAAAATGGCTAGGGTCTACTAGGTTATTGTGGTCCTTAGGATTTAGAATGAATATTTGAGATTGTATATAATGAGACCATTTACCTTTGATACAAAGTGATCACAATTACTTACAACCATCTGATGTGAAGTTTGATAGCTTGGATGTGTCACAAAGTTTGAGAAAATTTCTTTTGAGTTTGACCTTGGTCAATGAAATAATTACAGCCACCTAATTTCACATCCAATGGTCAAGTTTACCAAAGGTAAACGGTCTCATTCTATACTTTCCCTTAAGGTTTTTAGGAATTTAGTTAAGCATAAATTCAAGGGCTTCATAAAACTTGGATATGCCATTTTTGAAAAAGGTTCAATTTCTTTTTATTTTTTACAAGGAAAACTTTACAGTGAGACCCTTACCTTTTGTACAAGATGGTTACAATTAATTTTGATCATTAGATATGAAATCGGGTGGCTACAATTTATTATATTGACCAAGCTTCAAAGTTTTAAACAAATTTTCTTAAACTTTGTGACACACCTAACCTCTCAAATTTTATATCAGATGGTTATAAGTAATTGTGACCTCTTTGTACAATAGGTAATTGGTCTCATTGTAGATAAATCTTAATTTTTTTTAGAAAAATTACTAAATCCCCTAGCTTGGATGTTATCCTCATAATGCTCCATGTTGAAAAGTATCTCTCACCCATACCCCAACATATATTTTTTTTCTCATTGACCCAAGTTACTTTTTCAACTTTATTTATGATGAAAATGCCCTTATATATTTGGGTGTGGTTTCCATAAGGTAGCAACCTTAAACAATCAAATTAAGGCGCACCTTCAAATTTTATCATAACATATAATTTTGATGTAACATATTTTTAGGATTATCTCAAAATCTATTATTATATCTAATTATAAAATTTAAACTCCAAAAATAGTTAAAATCAAGTAGATCGATGAACATATGAAAATATTGAAAATGGACGGTCTAGATAATATGTTGTAAGATGCATCATTTGTGAGACTCAAAGTCCATTTATTTTTCATAGTCATACATCTCGATGCCGAGATGATCAATATAAATGGATTAGTTAGTTTCTCTCTCTAGACACATATTGGGCTTGAGATCAACTTAGAGAGAGAAAAATTGGGAAAGAAAGTGATAGAAACTAACAAACCCCTTATATTTGGGAAAAGTTTATATGGAGTGGAGGCAACCATCAAATTGGAGCCCCCCTCAAAAATGTTACTAAAAGAGGCGGTTTTGATGCCTAAATATCCTCAAATTAATCATCTCAACATCAAGATATATGAACATGAGAAAAAAATAGATTTCGAGTTTTGAAAATAGTGCATCTTGTAACACATTTTTAGACTGTCAATTTTCATGATTTTCAAGTATTTATAAATCAGCTCGATCTACACTATTTTTTAAGCTTTAAATTTTATAATTAAAGATGAAAATACATTTTAAGGCTATCACAATGATTTCCAATGTTGAAACCACATTTTTCGATACTATTTGAAGGTGGGCTCGAATTTGATTGTTTAGAACCTCGGCTCTATGCAAACTGCACCCTTTATATTTTTAAAGAGATAAACAAACAAAATGTAAAGGGAGAAACTATTTAAGAAGATCCTTTTTTTCAAATTTTATATATTACAAGTATCGAGTATTTACTTCAGGGCACGTTTGGTTCACATAGAAATGTCTAATGGGATATATTTTTATGTGAAAAAATTCTCCCATGTGTTTAAGTGTGTGGATATTTTCACACCAAATGCACTGGGACTAATTAGTATGAAAATGTTTTTACACTTAAACTATATGAGGAAATTATTTCATGTGAAAGCGAAACAAACATGCCTTTAGTTTTAGTCCTATTCCAAAAAATGTCTCCCAACCATGATTCTGAAATCCAATTATTGATTTATGGGGAAAATCTTAACGATATTATTCCTCGGTGGGATGATGACCCTATTACCACATTGTCACATGAACTAATTGTGTGAATCGATGATTTAAAAAATATTAGGTTGGCACAAAATCTATTGGTCTGATTAGAGAATTGATCACTCTGTGTTGATTCTGTCAATATACATAAAATCGTCGTGATTTAAAATAGAACTGACGATTTGCTACAATTAAGACAATGTTTTAACTATAGTATCGGTTTTTTAGCACACTCAAGAAAAGCCTCTCGAGAAGTGCGGGACCAGTTTCAAAACTCATGTCCGCAAAAATAAGACAACTTTTGAAATTGTCTTAAGCTTGAATAAGATGATATAAGGACCGAACCGACTTATTGGATGGTATTGGATCCTGGGCCAAGTTCCTCGCTCAAACTTTTTTAGTATTTTTTTCAATCACCAAAATCTAGAACGAGTCAAAATTAATTTCAATACAATGATCGATCCAACAATCCGACATAAATATATCGATAAATGATCTCCAAAGTATTTAGTTTTGACAACACTGGTCCACACAATTTTAGTCTCTCTTAACCGCTCTCTACGTAGTGATCTGCCTGGAATTTATTTATATCCCGCGAAGGTATATCCTTAAAGCCACTCAAAAACATCCTCATTCACTCCCACTCATTCATCCCATGGCGGTTGCTCTCACCAGCATCAGTCACTGCTCTTTCCCTTCAACCTGCCGTGCTCCACTCCTCCACATTACCATCCTTAACCAGGTATTTCTCTCTCCCTAGAGACAGATATTTTAAAGGTGTTAATGGGTTTGTCTCGTTATTCTTCATGTGTACATCCAGAAATTTGATTTACCCACTTGCTGATATGTTTTTGTATCCTCAAGAACATAAAATTTTTAATTTTGGGTTATCTGTTTCGTCTGCAATTTATGGCACAAACTACCAGTTTGGGCAATGCATAAATCCATAAAGTAATCATCTTGTTTCTTGGGCTGGTTCAGGATGATGGGGTGCATTTGTTCTCTTCCTGTACTATGAACAAGCTTAAGTTTGGGATTGTGGGTGTGCGAGAGCACAAAGGTTTCCCTTCGCCTAAATTGTTGCGCTCTAGAAGGAGGTTTGTCAGTGATTCAGTTGCTGCATTTCTTTTATTTATTTGCGCTGCGCTTTTATGCAACATCATATCGTTTCCGTGGAAGTTATTTTGTTTTTGATAATTCTCTTACACGGAGTCCCTAGGCACTTCTAATGCAAGCTGGACTCTTTCAATTCAATAAATTCTTGTGATTTTAGGTAAAGAAAGCCGATTCTATCATTATGTAGAGTTTCTTTGTTGTTTGACCCTGACGACAATGCAATGCACCATGTTAAATGTTTTGTGGACAAAAATTAGGCATGTTTCTAGTGTTTAATCCTCATCACGGTACGTACTCGTAGAGATTGTCTCTATGGTTTTAGGGTTCCCATGTGATTAAACACTGCATATTGCAGTACAAGTATTGTTGTTATAGGCATTTAGTTTTAGTAGGGAAAAGGCTATGTTGATGATGACGATGATGATAGACATTTAGTTTTGTTGGATTGTGGATATTGGATAAGGGGGAGCGATTTTGGAGTGTCCTTTTATTTGTCTAACTCATTTTATTTGGTTCAATCTGTCCTATTTGACGTGGTTATCGTAGTAAAGTTTGTTGTCCCACAAATAAATATACATGGCCAACATTTGATGACCCAAGCCAGACCTATTCTAGTTTCAATCATTGGCATGATGGTTTTGTTCACATTTGCTAAATGCCTCTAAAACATAATGGCTGGGCTCTGAAACTCCTTGTTACCATCAGAAATCAGCATGATGGGGCCTATCTTTGGGATCAAAAGCTTTTCAAATTTTCTCGAATTTATTAGAGGAAAGAAGGTCCACGTGTCAGCTAAATTCTCCTCGTTGGGGCCATGAGGCCAATGATTAGTTCTCACTGAGATACTTTGTTCTATTCTGACCTGGAGATAACTTATTTCTTACCCTTTAATTGCATTTTTCTGTCAATCTCGTTAGCCCACATACTCTTTTGTGCTTTTTAGATCTGCATACTGTATTGACTCTATATGTGAGTGGACTTGACTTGTGAAGTTTCATAGCTTACATGGACTTTCTAGCTCACTAGCTAATTATGGTGTGTGATAACGCTGCGTTAGCCCTGCGTTATTGATTTACAATTTTAGCAAGGCTGATACATCAAAACTACGGCTCTACCTTATATTTGGCATTTCACTTTTTCTTTTAATAGCTTACTCTTTCTTTTTGGTCTTGTGCCTCATTACAAACAGTTAATGTTATATAATCATGGGTTGAATGAATTCTACTTGAATTTACAATATGATACCAATATGCTATAAGATATTGAACTTCTCAATTGTGTAGTTTTTGATTATCATTAGGACATTGGCGCAGACTTAGTAGCTTGGAGCTAGGGTTTAGCAAAGAAGAAGATAGGAAAGATCCCAAATTAGATAAAGATGTAAAAACCAAAGGTAAAAAAGGAGCACTAGGTGCTCTATGGTTTGAATAATGTCCATAACAAAATCCTTCATCATGCATGAGTACATCCCTTATATAAGAAAACCCTAAACAAGACTTAATCTTGTCCATCCATCTAATCTAATCATGGCCATTTATTATAAAAAGCCTTAAGTGAATAAAAAGGAATAATATATTCCAGAAATTACTCTTTATGCCCCTAAATAGATAAAATAACTCAAGAAATAAATAAAAGACATAAAAGAACAAATTCAATAGCTATTTTTCCCTTGTGCGGTTTCTCTTGTAAATTTTAAGCTTGCCTCTCTTATTTAGATACTCAAGAGCAGTATTCTGGGCTACATAAAAAATCCTTGGTTTGGATTTTTATGCCTATCAATAGCTTGTGTTAAATATGAGGGTGTTGCATTCTCCAATTTTTCTTTTTAACTTAGTCGCACAATACGTACTGTATGAGTGAATGTAATATGCTAATGTATATCTAAGAGTACTATGGGGTTCTTTGTCACATTGATCTTTGTAATGAATATGTTATTTTGATGAAACTTTCCTTCTGAAGTGTGGTCTTTCTTGGTTCCGTACTAAATTAATTGCTGCAATCATGTGAATAACGAACTAGAGGGTTGAGGTTTTGGGAGTACACTTCTCATGCATCTTTTTATTTTTCACTAAATCGATTTTTGATGTGAAGAAGTTGCAGAAATAGTTCATCTTGTCTTTGCAGAGTTTTATGTTTTAATAAACAAGGTTCTTCATGTCATAAATGATTCTAAATAAATCTGGTGTACTAGCATCATTGTCAGGGCTGGCCTATCAATAAGTCATGGTTTGTTTGGGCATAATAAGCAGGAGAACTTTGGTCTATGCAGTCGATCAATATTCCGAGAAGTCATTTAAACATACTGTGGAAGTGGATAGGCTGATAGATAAGTTGCGAGAAGCAAATTCAAGTCAAGTAAGTTTGGTTTGGAAATGCTATTTCCTTTGTTTTCTGATAGTAACATTAGATAATGCTCCCATCCATCAGGTCTTGATCGGATGGTTGAAAATGTATGTTACTATCTGAATTTGAATAATTTCTTCTGCAAATTAGATGAAGCTAAAACTTAGGCATATATTCTTGTCACCATCACAAACCATAAAAAATTATTTTAAAAAATTTAATATGACCAAATTACCCCCATCATATTTTAGGGGTAGTTTGTTAATTTATATTTATTTTATATTTTTTTTGTGCCCCTTAATATGCTGTACGCGTGCCCAAAATTTAATCTTGATTTGATCTGTAGAAAAATGATTAAAATTTAAATAGTAACATGTATTTTCAACCATCTGATCAAAGATCTGACGGCTGGGAGCATAACCTAAACTACTATTCATTTGAGGTAAAAACCTATTGGTAGCTTTTCCCTTGTATGTATATATCTATGTATGCATACATGCATACACAGATAAAAGTGACTAGGTACTGTGGAATTATTCTCCACACTGTAAGAACTCCCAAATTGCCAAATTCTCTGACTGCTCTTCTCTGGCTAAGAAACATGCTTCTGCACAATAGATCCTTAAGCAACTTGCAGTATCAAGTTTCTCATTCTTTTATGGGATCAACATACGCAATCAATAGCCATCTCTGCATACTGTAAGTGATTCATCTTCTTGCTGTTGGGTAGCTCATAAAATCTAGATAAACACCTTATGTCTTGTCGGGGTAGTCTTTGCTTCCAATTTCCTGGAATCAAAAAATCTTTTGGTCCATAAAAAGTCTTTAGACATCACAATCCCTACATATGCTGCCCATGCCTGAATGTCCTGGGTTTGGAATTTATGCAATGTCGAGCCTGGGATGTGCCAATGGGTACTAAGTCAGGTGTTGGATTCCATTGTCTTGTAATTATGAATTGGGTAACTCACACTGATCTTTGGAACTACTTATGTGGCCAGAGGATGTAATTTAATTGGCTTCCCAGATGAAATGGAAGAGAAGATTAGCAGCCTGTGAAGATCTATCGTCTTTCTAGGGATCACTTGATGCATCTCATGTTTGGAATGAAGCTACTTTTTGTCCAATTAAAAGAACCATGCAGTGAAGGATGATTTATTACCTCTTATAACTTGCTTTGCTAGCACTTAGCAACTAAATATAATTGTGGGGAGTGGGACCATAGTACTCCATAGCAATTGGCAGAACCTTTGAGCATCGTCTTTTTTACTCCATTCCCTTATATAACCCTAAATAATTGAGTGCAGAGAGCCAATGCAAAGAGGTTTATATATATATATATTGGAAAAAGCTACCAATAGCTCTAGACCTATATTGGAAAAAGCTACCAATAGCTCTAGACCTAACTTGTACAGTAAAACGGTCTACCTCTCAACCCTTGGATCTCCATCAGACGATCGGAAGTGCGTAGCACTATATGAATTTTAATTTTTTTTACACATTGGAAAAAAAAATAAAAAATGAATGACCAAAATATCCCTGCAATGTTGCTGGGGTATTTGGTCATTTCATTTTTTGTAGTTATTTTTTATGTTTTAGGTGCGCTCATATGAGGTGCACACACCCTCCAAATTTCAACCCAATCTGATTTGTGGAAAAAAACAAAAAAATCGAGTAACATGCACTGCCAATCGTCCTATGTATATTTGATGTTTTGGGGGTAGACCATTTTTACTGTACAAATTAGGTCTGGAGATATTGATATCACATGTGCCTCCTAAGAACTCAAAATCATTTTTTTTTAATTGCTTATTATGAATCAAAGACGTGTAAAATTTCAGCCGAAACAAATCTCTCTAGATATATATTTTGGGGCTTAGCCTATAAGTGTAGATATAAGCCCATTGGCACTGTGCGCGTGTGCGCGCGGGCACATACAGATACTATAAAGGAAGTCATGTGTGTGTGTGTGTGCACGGTGCATATACATCGTGTAAAGGAAGTCATATAAAGTTTTGGGTGGGTAGTCCCCATTTTTCTTGTGACATACATGTCTGAGTAGCGTTAATTGTTCGCTTACATCATATCAATCTGAAGATTTTATGAAAATGTCTAGCCTCCTTCCAAAGCTGCTGGGCATCTTGGCAAGTCAGAATTGGATGTAATATATGACATGTTGTTTCTGGCCATAGCCTATTACAATTCTTGTTTGTCGTTATGAGAGTATGAGCGTACAGCTTAAAGAGGTTATTTTATTCGGATTAGATTTAGCCTATCTTTAGTTAGTTGATACTAATCCAGATGTCAACCATATTTTCTTCCATATGTTTTTGTGTAGCTGATTGAATTTTCCTTTTTTGGCAGCTTCAAAAGCTTGTAGTTGAAAATGTTCTGGCCTTCAACGAGAGTTTTTGGATTCGGCTTGCAGCGAGGACTGAGACATGCAAGTCTGATGATGATAAAGCATGGTTTTCACTTGGTTAATTTTTCATTACTTTGAATAGATGCACCCATTTATATCTTGCATTGCTTTGTATTTTATGCAAAGTATATGGAAAATAAATGTTTTATGAGAGAGATCTATGTTTTCCAGAAAGATTATGAAGAACTGGCTTTATCAGTAATGAGCATAGTGGATCGTCTTGTTCGCAAAACCAATGTAAGGCTTCCACCAAGCAATGAATCTTGCTGTTAGTTCTGCCAGTTGAACAACTTCATAATCTGTTATTGATTTGTGAGCTTTAATGAGATCACTTTGGCCAGCTTATGAATGTGGCGATGTAGATATGCAATTTGATTTCTCAGTTCTAAATTTTGCAAAACTACATTTTCGAAACATAATATTTAGTCAGAATGAACATATCATGAAAACTTGCAGAAAAAAATTATCACTAAAAGTCCTCATTACAGTCAACGGTTGACAATGCAGAAATAGTATACTGCTTTGACCTCAGAATATGGCAGCAAAAAGAGAGCTGGCTATACATATTGTGATGCGTATGATGGACTTTTAGGATGCAGGAAGCATTTGAGTTTGAATTGCATTTTATCACAGAGAATCTTACTACTGGAACTCAGACGCACATATGCAACATATGATAACAACTTTTTGAAGTCCTGCCATGGGAGAATTTGTTTAGTTTTGTGACTCCATCTCAAAGATAATTGCACTACTGTGATGGGAGTGATGGATTATCTATCGGTATATACTTGTACTCGTCACTTATATGTACTTTTTTCCCCATTGTGCCCTAGTAATACTGGCAGTAGCGTAATTTGAGGTGTAAATAGAACACACAGATAGGAAAGGGAATGGGTTCGTGGTGGTAGCATCCCCACTCCCAGTTACCACATCGTGGTATGCATTCCTACCGCTGACACCCCCAATTAACACCTTCAAAATGTAAATCCCCAATCTATTGAAAAAACGGGTAGAGGCCTGTCTTCCCCACTGAATTACCCAAAAAAAAATAGAACACACAGATATTCTGGTTAGGCTTCTGAGGGTCCATTTGTTAAAGAAATATATTAAAGAGTGTTATGGCTTAGGATGGTTAGTGGATGTTGAGAGGAGTGGGAATTCTTTGGATTTTTGGAATCTGAACATTAAAGGTGAAGGTTATGAAAAGACAAATTGTTTATTTAATCTTAGAAGTAGATTTCCCAATTGATTGATGTGGCTAGCAACAAAACTTCAAAGTACAAGCTTGTTTTTTTATCACTCAAGCAGGTTGTGTTGGATGTTATGATGTTCAGATACTTGCGAATGGATTCAGATTCAGTATCTGAATCTTATTTTCAAAACACAAGTAAAATGACCAAAAAGAATTATGGGCTATCCCCCATAACCATATCTGTGCATCATAGCTTGGTTGTTGCTTCTAGGAGAGATGATATTGAGAAGATGGCAGATTTTTTTAATCAAGGGTGGAAAAGATTTGGTTGTTTGGGGCCATGAGTGTTCTTATTTGGGACATATGTGCCATCTTTTACGTGGCATCGATGGGTGGAGGTTTTTTAGGATAGAAGACCTCATAGAGTGTTAGCTTCACATTTGTTAACTAGTAAGAATAAAATTTGTTTTCCTGAAATAAATTCTTTGACTTAAATTGCAGGGAACCTAGTGAGGGTGAAGCTTCCTATTCGTTAATGCAGTTCTAAATTTGAGGGTTGGATTTTCTCCGGGGATGTGCTGCCCTCCCCATGCGAGTGGATTTCCCGATACATGTCCCTCACAGATGGAACCATGGCAGCACAATGATAGAACCATAGTTTCCCTCATTTGGGGAATGCAATCTCTTGATCTTCATTGTAGCTACTATTTGTCTTGTTTTTTGATCTTCTTGTTCGTAAAATACACCATGCATTTCTATACATGTACACCTGTTATCCTATATGTCAGGCACTAGTTTAGTACATACCATTGTCAAAGTATGGAAAATCCTCCTTTGCAAAAATGTTGTGCAACACTTAGATGAGGCCTTCTCTTACAAGTAAATGTTAAACCACCTATTGTAATGTCATCAGTTGGAGGGTGTGAAGTTTCTTTTGAAGGGAGAAAGGGAAGTGGCGAGGGAGGGAGGGGGATTACTTCCTTCTATATGGGTGGTTTTCTTTCTGGCTGGTAAAGTGTCACTAAATTGGTTAAGCCACTGGTATCTTCTTGTGTATGAGTCCAATAGAAGCATGTTTTCGTAAATTTGTTATGGGGCAGTCTTGTAATTCTCCTAGTGTGCAAAATTTCAGTTTATTCAAGAATTTATGTGCATTTTTAATTTATTTTCTGGTAGTTGTATGCATGCAATATGCACGTGAGCCCTGTAGTTCAACCTTGTTCTGGTCAATGCTTCTGTTGTATTTATTGCTGTGCTTTCAGTTTAGTTGAATAGCACCATAAATGGAGAATGGGATGACATAAGTCATCTTTTTAATGAATCAAATTTTGAAATAGCCAATTTCATTTCAAGGTCAGTTGAAGGGAAAAATATATGAAGGATATGTTGACATGACTTAATTCTTTTTCTTGCTTCAGAGTTCAACTATAGAATAACTAATATCTTATCAATTGTAATATTTAGATTATTGTTGGTAATTCTATGCAATAACTTTTCCAGTTTTTTGTTGCCATTTTTTCAGCCTTCATTTGGATTCAACATGTACATGTATAATTGCCAGTCTTGTGTTTTTTCACTTTCTTGTGTTTTTATTCCCCAGGAGAAAATAGAATCTGCAACCGATATTTTAAAGGAAATTATAAAGCCTGTAATTGATGAAGAGGAGGAGATTTCTTGGCCTCCGAGGGATCCACAATCTCTTATTCTGATGGAGAAGGTAAGTTTTGGCTGTGAACAGGTTTGGTGTAAAAGTTTACACTTCAGGTTAAGCTGGTCCTATTAGTGTTTCATTTTTAAAGGATACTGAGGTCCTATTCTGTTCCAGAAACTGAAAACTTGCTTCACAGACTAAAAATGGTATCCTTGTTATAGTTAACTCTTCTCAAAAAAAAATGGTATCCTTGTTATAACATTAACCTCCAGACTGACTCTGCTGTATGTTTGTTTTGTTTTTCTCTTGGGCAGTTAGTGGATTTTATTCATTAAAACCTACTTACTTCTTTACAATTGGTACAACCATGATATTATTCATCAAACTACACATTCAAAATCATTTTTAAAGTTAATATGCTGCAAATAATTTAGTTTGCCATGAGAGTAAGAGCCTAGATATAATTATTCGACTAAAATGGAACAAAGTACAAGCCTGATGAAAAGGTGAGATATTAGTGATGCTTTAGAGCTCTTTGCAGTATCAAAGATTTTATATGGCTTTACGTATTCTAGAATACTCTTATCTTCTCTAATCCCTTAATTTATAATGGTTATTTCGGCAATATAAATTACATTATTGCCTCATCTAAATGTTTCAAGATCTTTGTTTACTTTTTTGGTTTTAGAAACGTTCAAAGCTAAGCCTTTTTCTCTACAATTTCGTATAACAACCTGGAAGTTTGTTTTGACATTCTCACCAGGAATTGGCAGCAAGAGAGCAAGAAGGACAACTTGATGAAGGTTTCCTCTCTGAAGTAAATGCGCAATTACGACAAGTGAGTTATTCATTGAGACAGTTTCTTTGCATGAAGTAATCCCTTCTTCTGTACTTTTTCCAAGTGCTGTCTACAACCTAGAGACTGTGCTGCTAGTATGGCCGACAACTTCACTCAGTATCCTAGTAGTCATAACTTAGTGACCAACATCATTTACAATAAAGTACAGGTGAAAATGGTTATCTTCCAATTTATTGCCAAATTTTTGAAGTATCATTCAATAGTATCATTATTATTATATTGCGATTCTATTGGTTTGAAGACATGCGATACCTGAATTAAATGCCAGAAAGGGGACATACCTCTTCCATGCTTGGTTTAGCTGCCTCTCTCTTTTGAGTCTTCCTTGGGAAACCAAGGAATATTCTATGTGCATGAAATTAAAAAGAGACCAGATGATCTTACTGATGGATTGGGTCACTCTATGACATTGACATCAAAGCGCAGTCCTGGTTGAACAAATGGGTCAGTCCTTGGCTGTTACATCCGTTATAACCTTATGCACTTTAATATTGCTCATATCATCTGCGTGTTGATTTCCTGGGTTAATTTTCCATACTTGTCCATATATGATCTAATGCTGAGATTTATACCTTTATTGCCATGAGCTTGATATTCAAATTTGTATCTTCTTTTCTTTATTCATAGTTCGCCCCTCATATTGTTATAGGCAAAACAAGATGGTGATAAGCCAGGGCTAGAGGCAATGCTGCAAAAGGTATTGCAACTGTATGCAGCCAAAGTTCTCTCAAAACGTAGCTATTCAAAGAAAGGTACGTGAAACATTTGTGATGAATGACAAAGTTTGTGTTACATAGTTTCTTAAAGACCATTTGGTGGGAGATGTAAATCCAGCAAATGTAGGGTGTAATTATCTGTGTTTCCCTTGTTAAGAGAACTGTACATACTGAACAAATGCCACAACCTTATGAGAAAAGTTGTTGGAAAATTCCTAATGAGACAGATTATGGAAACTCACTTCTCGAAAACCAGAGTTAGAAGGTGAGCGATAATATAAGTAGCCAGGACAATGGTCTTAACTATAACATATCAACATGTTACTATGGAAAATAGGAATCAACTGTTATTCTCTTTGCAGTACTTTGTTTTGGACATACCATGCTTTATTATGTTCATTGTAGCTATAGAACCCATAAATATCTCAGTAAGAAATAATTGGTAAACAGTACATAAAACCAACTCAAAAGTTGATCAATATGCAGTATGTTGTCTAAGAAGGATTACACATGTCTTACGAAAGTAGATGATTTAATAAATGAGGAAGCTGAGCCCCAGCAAATTTACAGAATTAAAAGAAAGAAGACGATTCAATATCTACGAATCCAGGAGTTAATGTGATATGCGACATCAATTCAATCATTAAGTGCATGTCTGTGAAGATATTAGAGCCATTTGGTGTTACTGAAATGAAACTAGAATTAGGAGCAAAAGAATGGGAGTGAAGAGACTCTTAAAATGTCTTCCTCTTGAAGGAGGGAGGTTGAGAGAGAAAAAAAAGTGTTCTCCTACGGTCTGAAAAAGGAATACAGGGGCACTTTTACTTTTGTTGTTCAGTATGCCTTCATGAGAGAAATGTAATAGAGTTTTCTTTTCCTTCTCTTATGGATCTGAGAAAGAGAGGGTATATAAGGGTGACCCAAAGAGGGAACTACCTGTTTTTTTTTTTTTTCTACACTTTTTCTGTGAGGGCAAGATCAGCATTAGAGACTTCGAGAGAGTACGAATTTAATTGAGAAGAGCCACGCTGGAAATTTTGGCTAAAGTATGGAAGGGAGATGTGGTTTAGGATTTGGGAAGGGAGATCTATGAGAGGGAAAAGATTTGTACCTTTCAGAAGGTTATCAAGAGAATCTGCAACATTGATTCAATAAACAAATTGCAGCCTGTTATCATTTGCTCAGTCCTGATGCAGAGAAACATACTCCTCTGTTCAATATTTTCTTTCTGGATGAGGAAAATTTAGAAATGTTGTATTCTCTAGTTTTATGCACAGGTACAATAAAACACTTCAAACTTTGTGAAATTGCTGCAATCATTGGTGCTAACTTATAGATGAAAGTCAACTAGAATACCTCGGATGTTCATAACATTTTACAAGTCAGATAGACTATAATTTCTTGTAGTTTAAATGAGGGCAGCGAGTGTTGAGTAGCTGCATTTGATTGAATATATCTACCATGTTCTTCCTTGCTAGATGAATCTTTAGTAGTTTGAACATACATTTTATGTTACAGGAGGAGAAATTGTGAGGGCTGAGCTATTGCTTGAATCTGTAATCAAAGGTAAAGTTGCTCCATGGTAAGAGACAATGATGTTTTTATTAGCCAGTTGCTATTTGTATAAAAGTAAATCTTGGTGTACTTTCTTATTCATATTACTGTTTTGACTTACACATGAGGAGCATTATATTCATTTGAAGTTCTCTTACTCCTTATGTAATACTGAGATGTATGAAAAACTTCCTGTTTTGTGTTGTGCATATGCCTCCACTCTGTTAAATATGATAAAAATAAGTACTTTAAACTAGTGATAAAGTCGTAGTTTCACTATAATTTCTTACTTATTCGTGATAAAAGGTATTGAGGAAGAAGTAAAACTTATCTTCGTAAATAAATGTTTCTCTAAACAAAAATGGGTTCCAAATTCTGAGGTTAATGGGTTCTGCAACATATCCTTCTCATCATCATCATTGTCAAGGCTTTTTCATAACTAATTGGGGTCGGCTACGCGAATCCTAGTCTGTCATTCTGCTTTATTAAGGGTCATACCTTCAGTAAGGCCATAGTCCTCATATATTTTGTCATTACTTCCAACCATGTCTTTCTGGGCCTACCCCTTACCCTTTTTGAGCCTTCTACTTGAATTAATTCACACCTCCTAACAGGTGTTATACTGGGTCTGTGCCACACATGGCCAGCTCACCTAAGTCTACTCTCTTTCATCTTATCGCCTATTGGTGCCATACCTAAATTTTCCTGAATGTATTTCGATTTCTATCCCTTCTTGTTTTGTCACTTATCCATTTCATCATCCTTATCTCTGCTACATTCATTTG